GTTGCTTGATCTTAGGCAAGTCATTCAGCTCCTCTGGACATCTAGTTCTCAGATAAAAATTACAGAAATTGTTTTGACTTTGGAGTTTTCTTCTAACATCTAAACACTATAAGTTTCATCTCAGAGAAATGTTTCTCCCTTTGAAATTTTCTAGTAATATAATACCATTTTCATTGATTAGAAAAGAGTACCTAATCCACATGTCTATCAATCATCATCAGTGCGGTAAATTCCTGTACTGACCACGAGATGGAATGTACTGGGGATGTGTGGATGTAAATTAATCCTCAAACGACAGCTAAAGAAATGGAGCTGTCAAGTAATCAGGTGCTCTAATTTTACCTTTGTTATTTTTTCCTTTTGAGACATGATCCAAGCTACTCTGGAAATCATTTAATGCTGGTCTCAAACTCTTCACAATCCTCTGCATCAATCTCCTTAGTACTGGGATGACAGGCATGAGGCACCACACATGGCTACCTGATTTTATTTCTTATGGTGCTATTCACAAGATAATGAAATGAGTCGGGCCATGGTGGTGCATGCCTTTAATCCCAGTACTTAGGAGGCAGAGACAGGCAGATGTCTATGAGTTCGATGCCGGCCTGGTCTACAGAGCATGTTCCAGGATGGGCTCCAAATCTATACAGAGAAACCCTATCTCTAAAAACAAACAAGGGCTGGAGAGATGGCTCAGTGGTTAAGAGCATTGCCTGCTCTTCCAAAGGTCCTGAGTTCAATTCCCAGCAACCACATGGTGGCTCACAGCCATCTGTAATGAGGTCTGGTGCCCTCTTCTGGCCTCCAGACATACACACAGACAGAATAATATTGTATACATAATAAATAAATAAATTTAAAAAAAAGAAAAACAAACAAACAAAAAAAAAAAAGAAAATGAAAATGAAATCAATCACTGCTATAACAGAGACAGATTTCTAAGGCATATAAAACAAAAGAGCTAGATGTAAAAGTGTATTTTATGATTCCATCTGTGAAATTCAAGAATAAGCAAACCTGTGCTAATAGGAACCAAAATGGCAGTGGCCACTCCAGCAAATGGGACAATATAGTGTCCTTGGAAGGTCTAGTAATGGTCTGTATGGGTGTACAAAAACTAATGGAAGTAATATTTCTGAATCTGACTTTGTGTATATTCATTTTTTAAATTTTTTTTGGATTTATTTATTTTATGTGTATGTGGTTTTGCCTGCATATGTGCGTGTGTACCACCTGTGTGATCCTGCTGCTCGTAGAGGTCAAAAGAGTGTGAGACTCCCTGGTACGAGAGGAAGCAAACCCGAGTCCTGTATAAGAGCAACAAGTACTCTTAACTACTGAGCTATATCTCCAGCTCCAATTTCATGCATACCGTTTGTCAAGACAGCGGAGAAATGAGGTAAGGGATGATATATTATGTAGATGGGTGTGTCTGCACAAGCATTTTCTGAAATCGTGTATAACCAGATTATCTATGGTTGGTTGCCTTGGGAAATGAAGTAGGGGGACAAGAATGTAAGAGAACTAAGTGGTCTCTGTGTAACCTTGAAATTATCACCAAGTCCATAAATTACTATTTCATCAAAATAATTATCATTCTTCATTAATATATAATTCACATCATGATCTTAAAAGAAGCCCAGCCTTGCATATGAGAAAGAAAAATGTCTTTTGGGCTGCTTCTGAAAACATAGTTAAGCAAAGACTGATGATGAGACTTTCCCATGTCCAACACAGCCACTGGATGAGCAGGGAGGGGCATGCTACAAGGCTCTGAAAGTAATACAGTTAGGAGAATAATTCTTCTGCCTTCTACTTAAATACATATTAAAGAGATCTCAAAAAAAGCACTAAACATGAAAACCAAAAAAGGAAATTGCCTTTACCATGGCATTTTATTTCTAAGTACTTCAACAAGCGTCTCCAAAATGTAAGATCCCTGACCAATAAACATATGTATGAACTACTCATTGCTACTTAACAAATTACTCAAAACACAGTAGTAGGAAATAAGCATGTCTTTTCTCACTGTGTGTCCTACTTTCCTTTCCTGCTGCTGTGATACAATACCCTGACTAAAGCAACTTCAAGGGAGAAGGGGTTTATCTGGCATACAATTCTAGATTACAGTCATTACATCATTGCAGAGAAGTCAAAGCAACAGGAACTTGGAGCAGCTAGTTACCTCAACAGTCAAGTGCATGGAGACAATAAAAGCATGAATATTTGTTGCTCAGCTAACTTTCTCTACTTCAATACAATTTAGGAACCAAACTCTGGCAATGGTGCTGCCCATAGTGGGCTAGGTCATTTTACATCAATTAATGCAATCAAAACAATCTCCCCACATGCCTACTGGTCAACCCAATCTAGACAATTCCTCGTTGAGATTCTTTCTATATGATACTGATTGTGTCACATTAACAATTAAAACTATCACAGTGTTTGACAGATGAATCTGCATGTATCTTAGCTAAGTGCCTAAGCCCCAGGTCTCTCAGAAGACTGCCACAATCTCAATCCTCAGCTGGGTCTGACAGATCTGTTGCCAAGTACACCCATGCTACAATTGGTTCTGGCTCCCAACAAGATGCAGAAATTCTCATGACACGGCAACCCCCCCCCCCCCCCCACACACACACCTGCGCTGGAGTGACTCAAGAGAGAGAACACATACCCAAAACTGACATTTCAGTTCTTCCTAGCCTAGTTTCAGAAGTGCCATGTCGGAGCCATTTTATATCCATGTGAGTCACTAGGTGTGGCCCAACTGCCAAGGGAGGATTATGCAAGATTGTACCCAGCAGGGTAAGTCTCAGATTCATTTTACTAAATCAGCACTGGTCTCCTTGGATCATCTGATCTTCAAGTGCCCCCCGCCCAGATGACTATTGTATGTTTGTTCAGGCTGGGATCCAATCAAGGGCCACAAATTTTATTAGGTTCTTTGGTCTCTTAGGTATCAATTGATGATGAACAGCCTTGTGAATATTAGAATCGTCATTCTAATTTGCTTTTATTTATTTTTATTTTGCTTTTTGTGTCAGGCCAGCACCTAATTACAAATGCTATGCAAGCATCCCTCTCCTCTTCCCTCAGAAACTGTAAATGATAACCTCCAATAAAGAAAGCTCTCACATTTATAACTCATGAATACCCAATATGATGATTTCAAATCAAGGGCTCCATATCGAACCTACCATAAGAAAACAAACTCTGGAATGTAAGAGCTGGAAAAACATCTAAAGGACATCTATGGACTGAGGCTATGGCTCAGTGGTAGTGTGCTTACCTAACATACAATAAACAAACCTAGATTCTACTCCCAATACCATGGTGGAAAAAAGAATAAAGCTGTCATCTAAATCAGTAGCTCCTAACCAGGGTCAGTGGAATCCTTAAGCAGGTGGCAATGTCTGGTGACATTCTGGCTTGTCATAGAAGGAAGAAAGAGTTTCATACTGGCATCTGTAGGTGGAGGCCACAGACTAGGCTAAACATCCTACAATGAATTGGATGCCCCTCATAGCCATCCTAAAGTTAAGAAACCATATACCAGATAACTTTGTTTCTTTCAGAATGAGAAAGCTGAGGCCTGAAAGGATAATGGTGATTATTCAAGGTTATACAGCTGCAAAATCAGAAGTAGATCCAAGTGTCTATTCCACCTTCCTCCAACACCTGCTTTGCTTTGTCAAGAGTTGGTTTGGAAGAAGAAAGGGTGGGATCTGAAGGTGCTTTGTTTTTGCTGTTAGACATGGAATCCAGGGTCTCTCAAATAGCTATAATACTGGCTAATCTTAATGTTCGTAGCTAACGCAAACCAAAGGAGGAAAATCACAATAAATACATCACTGAACGAATGACACACAACCTATCAGGATATCCCAAAGTCTGAACAAAATGCCATCTTTAATTATCAATTTGAATAGCACTGTTTCACCAAAGTTGCTACTGGATAGAATTCTTCAGAGGGTAAGTTCCAGTGCAGGTGACTGATGCCTCCCTTCTAGAGACGTCAGGTTTTCAAAGAGAATGTTAATTCGCCTCCCTAGGGTGCCCACACACGTCCTGGCCACAGACCAGAAGAAAGGAATGTAAACAGGGTTGTTGAGAAAGAAGGCATTAAAATCCCCACCCCCCACATGCACATACAGGCTGTCATGCTGGGACTGAAGTCACCTGACCCCTCCATCTGCCGCTGAGTCATCAAGCCCCTTCCTTCAGCGAGCTAATTATGCAGCTAAGCAATTAAGAAGAATGCTGGAAATTCTGAAGGTCTGGGTTATCTCCAACCTCCAGCATTCGCTAAGTACCATTTTGTTCTTAGAGATATAGCCATGTTTTACAGTGGCCCATTATCTTTGCAAACCGTATTTTATTGTATTTTATTGAATGCTGTTATTTTTAAATCTACTGAAAACACCTGCCTGGAAAAAAATAGGTTTAAATGCTGGAACCTTGCAAAATAATGCTAAACAATTTTGACTGCACATCTGGCCTTGATATTGCAGCTAAGAAGTTGCCATTCCCTATCAAGTTTTTGCTTTGAATAAAATTAGGCTCACTGCTGAGAGGCAACCTCTGAGAAAAGAATTAATAAAGATATCTTTATTGAGCCAGCACTATGACAGAAGGAAAATGGTTTATGGTTATCTTTTCAAAGCAGCTTTTGCTCTTGGTCTCTGTCCTTAGAAAGCATGTGTAGTAGTCAGTTAAAATTTTTCTTCCCTTCCTTGCAAGAGGCTCTTATCTTTCTGTCTGGCCCCTGCCCATTTTCTGCAAGTGAACACGCCAAAACCCAACTCACGCTTGCACCTGCACCAGGCCACTCCCAGCAAAAGCACCAGGAGGAAGCAGCTGTGGACAGCAGGCAAAGGCCCCACTTTCGGTTTTAGGGGGAGCAGCCAGGGCAGCAGACCACCCACCCAGGATCTGCCTGAAGCGTCTGCACTGTTGGGAGCGCCAGGAAAGGCATCCAGGCACCACGCACCCCTTACCTGCAGTGCCGCATCTTGCAGCGTGGCCGTCCACCTGGACAGCATCCTAGAGCATCCTTTCTTCAGCACGTCTGCTGCGAGTGTTGTGACGTCATCCGGAGGCGGGCTCCACGCTGCCACGTGATGTCTTTGGAGTCCTGCCGCTGTGAGCAAGACAGGAGGGGGTCGGAGGGTGGGTGGGAAGACCCTGCATGTTCCAAAAGAGGCAGGTAACAGTTAATATGACCTCCTTTCAGGGTGTTTGTCTTGATGCCTGTCTATTGCTTGGTCTTGTTGGGAAAGTTAGGGGAAACAGTACACAGGAAGAATTAACATTATTACAGGTTCCAAACATATAATAGGATTTCAAAAACAGCTAGCAATAAGGAGATTATTGTGGAAAGGAACACAATCTGGTGTTCTGTTTTATCAGATGCAATAGAGAAATATGTTTTATAAAAATCAAAATGAAACCCGAAATATACCATGCATGAACACATAGCATTTGAAGTTTGGTGTTCCAAATTATATAGTCAAATATTACGCTCAGGCAGTTCCTGATGGAATATTCTTCAAACTGGACCGATGGCTGATACTTTGAATTATTCTCACTAGCTGCATTACATTAGTCTCATTTGCTAAGGGGAAAAAACAGTGGCATCACGCATTAATACTACTTTCTGTAATCTTCGATTAATTAAAATAAAACACTGAGAGAACACAACTGTATTTATGTTTATTTTTTCCTAACTCCTGGCTAAGACATTTCATCTCTTGAGCACAAATTTGTTGAAAACAACTCATTATTTCAAGTTGTCTGATTTTTCGGACATTCTGAAAAAGCAAGTCACTTTACTATTACAATGTACGTTGTCAACATTTTTTGCATTCCCAGTGAAACAATCTTTCCTTAAAGGCTTTAGAATATTCTCTGATCAGTTCATAAATTGGAACTAGTACATTCAGAACTTAGAGCAGTTCATGTATAAAATCTTACTTGTTTGCCAAACCACATAAACGTTGTGAAAGGGTAGTGATAGACGCTCTTTTCATTCCTATCGCAATTTCACAGGGATTGTTTTAAGTGTAAATCACAATTATAACATTCCTTTTGATCACTCTCCTGAAAGGAACGTTAAATAGATTGCTTAACAAGCAGGCATGAGTTAAGTTTGCTGGCCACTTATTCCACCTGCTTTTTTCCCCTTCTGTATTTAACCCTGTCCCCTTTACCACCATTGCCTCGAGATTAGCCACATTTCTGCTCACAGGGTCAAACTCTAACTTAGATTAAATACAGCCCTTGCCTCTATCAGCCCTCTATTATTTTCAAGATCGTATGTTTTTAAATTGACAGCGGTGGTGTGGATTTCTAGGTCACTGCTCTCAGGTTTGTTTCTGAGTGACAAAGAACTTACCTTTATAGTTGTGAGGTTCTTGATACACAAAGCCAAATTGCTACTGCAATCTCTGACTCCTTTGGGTTGAGGGTCTGAAGCACAAGGAAACTGACAAGTTCATTTCCCTGCCAGAGGCAAATGTCGATTTCAGCCTCAGGCTCACAGAGGGCCCAGTTGGCAGTCTGGCAGTATCACATGTTCTGCTCAGCCACTCAGCCCAGTCCTGCCCTCCTGACCACCCCTGGCTCTGGAAGGTACTTCGTAATGTGGGCGGCCTTTCTAACCTTGGTGGAAAGGTGTCTAGGGAGAACCTATTTCTGCAATACAGGAAGCCCCACCTCCGGTGACGGGTGCTCTCTGCTAGCCGTTTCCCGGGGTGGGGGCAGGGATAGAGAACTGCAGTGCAAGTAACTCACCCTTGCTGCTCACAGCCTTCCTTTGTGTTCGGCTTGGCTGAAATGAGTAAACCTTCCTCATCTGGGGACATATTTTTTTAAACAAGTTAGTTTCACCTTCTCTTTTTCCAGGTGATTGCTCAACTGAAAGTAAATACACAGACACACACAGTCCCCATATATACACACTTTCTGTCTGTTACACATATATACAGACTTTCTGTCTCTCTCTCTCACACACACACACAGTCCCCATACATACACACTTTCTGTCTGTTACACATATATACAGACTTTCTGTCTCTCTCTCTCACACACACACAGTCACCATACATACACACTTTCTGTCTGTTACACATATATACAGACTGTCTCTCTCTCTCTCTCTCTCTCTCTCTCTCTCTCTCTCTCACACACACACACACACACACACACACACACACATTCCGTCTTTCTCTTACAGGCACACACACACCACCACCACCACCACAACAACAACAACAACAAAAACAGACCTAAAATGGGACTGTGGATTTACAACAGAATGAAATAACTGTTGTAATATCTTCTAAGCTCAAATTTAAAAAAAAAGGAATAAAAGGTACTATGATTTTAGATACTTAGAGAGAAAAGGACATTTGTACTAGGTTAAATGGAACACAATGAGGTTCCAAAACATTATGCAGCAAGTGATTTATCTGTTGCATGTGGATGTAATATACTTGCAGCTAGTTACATACAAACTTTTATATATGAACATGGAAAGTAATTAAGACTAAGTCACCAAATTATCAAAATGTGGCAATTCACTGGCAAATAGGATTAAGAGTGTTTTAGTTTTCTCCTCCTCCTCTTTCTTCTCCTTCTTTTCCTTCTTTGCTATGCAATCTCATTTCTCCACAGTGACAGAGCTTTATAGCAAGAGAAGGATGCAGAATACACACTTGGAGCTAATTTTTGATGCATGGTTCTTATTTGAAGAATCTCCAGTGCTACACACAAAACTTGAAGGAAACAATCTCAGTCCTACTCTGAAGTTTTATCTGTCAGGGACTCTAACCATGCTTCTCATTTTACACTGGAGAGAAAGAAGAGGGGAGGAAGAGAGTGAAAGAGAAAGAGTTGATGGGCTCAAAACTTTTCTTCAGTAGCCATGGAAGCACAATTAGGATCTGATTTCTAGATCCCAATGTTCTCTTCACATATTTGGAATTTCGTGATACGAAATCTTTTTACACTTTCCTCCTCTTCATTATCTGCTATATTTCCAGAAACAATACACAACACTCATAATAACACTGTGATTGTTGTTCAGTTTGCCATGTTTTATTTTGTTTTGTTTTGAGACAAAATCTCACTCTGTAGCTAAGGTTGCCTCTTGAGTGTTGTGAGCCACCTTGCACAATGAGAACACTGGTTCTTAGTGGGAATAACGTTGCCCTTTATCCCCTAGGGATATTTTCAGCTGCCTACTGAGGCACTGTAGGGACTAGTGTATTCCTGGCATCCAGTGGGTGGAGCTCAGAGACACAAGAGAAGAGGCCAAGGTGTGCAGAACCGCTGCCTATGACAGTAACTGATGTAGTCTCTTAAATATCAATAAGGCTAAGGGCCTCTGGGTTAGAATAGCTTATAAAGTGTGATTAGATGTCCCTGCCATTTTGAGGCATTTTTCCCTTGATAATGTGCTGGAGCCTCTGCTCTGTAATGAAACACTTACATGTCAACACAAGGGCATGAGGAAAGAATGACATACACCATCTCTGAAAGAGCCACAAAAAATGGTGCTTAGATTTCTGGTGAGTAGAACTCAGTGTCTGTCTTTCAGAGGCGGGTGAAAAAGTCTCAAGAGTTTTGGAATGTGTTAAATATGTTTTAATCATACATTTCTCAAGCACTCTTTTTTTTTTGTTTGTTTCGAGGTAGAGTTTCTCTGTAGCTTTGGAGCCTGTCCTAGAACATGCTCTGTAGGCCAGGCTGGCCTCAAACTCACAAAGACCCTTCTGTCTCTGACTCCTGAATGCTGGGATTAAAGGTATATGCCACCACCATCTGATCCAAGCAGTCTTACATACATGTGTCAAATATTCAGTACACTGAGCACATTTATCTTCAGGGTGCCTTTGATACATACTCTGCGGCGAACTTCTCGAACAGCGAGAAAGAACAACCACCACACGAGGATTCTTCTCAGATCACGTTTTATTGGAGTGCCTCTTGGTTGAGGGAGAGCAGGAAGCGAGCCCCGCCCCCCCCAGAGCACTAAAGCAGCTGCTTATATAGGAAGTAGGCACACGGGTCGCCCTGTGATTGGTTGCCACCATCAGCTGACACCAGACTGCATTGGGATAGGCCCAAGGGCCCTTATCCCCCACGCATGCTGGAAGCAGGGGACATGCAGCTCCCAAAGGCATAGCCATATATGGAGTTGTTTATTTCCAACGGGACAGGATGTCAGCGCCATCTTGTAATGGCGATTCTGTCCTGCTCCCTGCAGTGCTCTCAGGTATTATCAGTAATAGCACAGGGAGAATGCTATGACCTTGTCCTGCAGAAAAGACAAAAGGCAGCCTTGACATTGTCTCTTGCTCTCTAACCTGGAACTCTGTATAGTTAAACATGGACTCATGGGCCCTACTTCTCTCTACATGATATCCCTGCCCTGACCATCCACTCATTTCCTCTGTGAACCCACAGCTCCAGAGACCCTGACATGGTTTGCACCACATTAGACTCAAATCATTTGCTCACATCAGTCCTATAACTCTTGGAGAGCAAGAACTGGATCCACCTGCCAAAGAAAGTCCAACGTTCAGCACTACATCTACGTCGTACCAAGTTACACTAACTCAAATTTTGCACAAATTTCTTGAACTAAGAAGCTAGTAAGATGGCTCAAAGGTTAAGAATGCTTGATGCTCTTAAGCATAGGATCAAACTATGCCCTCTGAATGTGGCTGACAGTTGTATGGCTGGGGCAGACTGAGGGGCCACTAGCAGTGGCACTGGGATTTATCCCTACTGCTTGTACTGACTTTTTGGGATCCTATTCTCTTTGGATGTATACCTTGCTCAGCCTAGATATAGTAGGGAGGGCCTTGGACCTTCCACAAAGCAAGGTGCCTTACCATCTCTGAGGATTAGAGTGGGGTGTGGTGGAAGGGTGTGTGGAGGGAATGGGAGGAGGGGAGGGAGTGGGAATTTGGATTGGTATTTTTTTAAAAAAGAAATCTAATAAAAAAAGAAAAAGAAAAAAACAAACAAGCAAAAAAGAATGCTTACTGTTCTTGCAGAGGACCCCA